TCAAAGAAAAATAATAACTATAAACTATTTACAGAGCATAGAAATAAACATAACCATTGATTTATTATAATTATATCCTAAGCAATCAGAACAAGTTTGATATTCTTTATTTAGTATTAGAAATATCCTTTTTTTTCACAAAAATTCTGGATAAAGGCACGGTCTTGAAAAAGAAAGCAAATTCAGTTGTTACTGCCAAATGTTCGACTTATTTTCAGTTCATCATCAGGACAAAACAATCTTAAATCTACAGGTTGACATATATTTTTTTTTTTTTTTTTTACAGGCAATCTCAAATTTCTTTCAAGACTGACTCAGCCCCAACATTGCCAAAGACTCAGTTCATTAAATGTGATACTTGCTGTTGTTTTGGCAATTGGATTTATTAACATTTTGACTTTTATAAAATTCAAAGTTTTTCGATGTTTTCTAATTGATTGAGATGATTTTGCTATATTATGAATTAATTATATTTATCTTTATTATCTTACATTCTGTCTTTTTGACACTTCTGATGTAGAATTGCTATTGGAATTGCATTTTGTTGTTGTTTCAAAATACCACAAAATATTGGTCATTGCACAAATATTACCAAGAGAATTCGAGATGAAAGACAAAATAAAACAGAAGAAGGAACAGAACAATGAAATGAACAAAATATATTTCATATGTCACAATCACATGCTACTGAATCATCACAACATCATGAAACATGAAATGAAGCAAGACGAATAAGAATTAGAGAATTAAGACAATATTTGCCCTATTTGATCGAAATGAACAACATGACAATAGGCAGTCACACATGCAAATGAATCGATTAAATCAATTGGTAAAACTAAAGATGATTTTGCATATGAAGTGAAGTGTTTTGTAAGTGTAACTAATAATGTTTAATGTTGCATTCTGACTTTTTGACTCTCGGCTGAAGAATTGCATTTTGATGTTTAAAATATCACCAAAATGAAAACATTATTCATAGAATAATATTAACATTCTTACTAAAATTAAAAGGTAAGTATGTGGTAATTACAACATACACCAATTATATCACAAGAAGTGCCATTCCTATTCAAACAATGCACTTTCCAATTATACTGACTTTTGGAATAATGATAAACAAATTAAAAGGTCAATTATTGCTATTATGTGGATTGAATTTGGACAATCCATGGTTTTCTCATTGACAATTATATGTTGCATGCTCCAGGAAACTAAGGGATTTATTGTTTGTATATATGCCAACTGGAATCACCAAAAACATTATGTATCCGAGAGTATTACAATGAATTTAACACTGAATACAACAATATTTACAATTTAATACAATGTAATCAAAAACAAAAATAATATTGCATATGTAAATATCTATCATGACTAAATACAATCATTGATATTAAACATTCAATTATGTTCATTTCATTTATATATCTAGCAATAGCAATATGTTTACTCAAAATGTGTTAAATAACATACAATTAATTCAGGTTTTTAGTCGAGATAAATGAATTTAATAAGTGTTAAATAACTTTTTAGTATCCCCCTGGACAACACTGTGTTACAAAGCTAATACTTTTTTAAAAACTATAAATGAACTTAAAAATATCTGAAAAATAATCCGACATCCTCAGTGATTTCTCGAATTGAATCTAGAGGTTGTCTCACAAGTGAAATGGAGGTGTTTCGTTCTAAAATATCGGGAATTATGAAAAATAAAGACAAATTAATCAAACAATTTTGATAAATGCCATAAAGATTTTTAAAAAAATACGGGCCTAAAAAAGATAACAGATTACACTCTACTATGATACTGTAGTCCAATAACTCTATTTACATATATATTATGAAAAGGTTCACACAAAGGTTTATAAATAGTTGACAAGAATTTGAGTAAATTCCTATAAATTAATAACCGATAAAATATAAAATTATAAAGTATTATTAAGAAATGATAATTGCAATTATATATAAATTATTTTTTATGCAATAATACACCTTGAATTATTATTCGTTATTAGATGGCATTGTATTAAACTTTTTCTTTTTTACTTTTGTATTGTAAATTGTAAAAATTTGGCGTACAAAGTCAACTGTCTGTATAATTGAATTAAATTACTACAAATTTTAAAATATTAAAATCCCATGGCAATAGCGGTGACAATTTCATCCCCCTTGTTTTTTTATTTATTTGTTTTAGCCCGTGACAGGGGGATGACCTAATCAGTACAGTCATTACAATATTTAAAATTAAGAAATACAATTCGTTTTCAGAGTAACATAATCAATAAACTAATTACAACCATGACAGGCATTTATGTATTCCTTTCTTGAATACATTAAAAGAGGTTCCAAATATATCCAAATTATGTATGTCATAGATTTCACTAAGGCCTTTTGAAGGTAAGTCATTGCACCAAATTTCCTGATATTAGTTCTATGAAACTGGGTGTAAAAACTGTGTTGCTGGTGACAACCGTGAATTGGGGCATGGAGATTGAAGCATGGAACACACCTAATGCAACGCATTGCCGCGTGACCCGATGCCTTGTCTCGTTTTGGTAGGATGTGCACATCTGTTCAACATCAAGCACACCCCACAGATAGTCACACTATGTGTATCACAGATCTGTATGACAATGATTACAAACACAACGCATCACCTCTTTGATCTTAATGCATTGTTGTGAGCAAAACCATGTAATAAATTGTCAGTTGAATTTTATGAGCAGTCACATAACAAATTGTTAGTTAAATTTTATGAGAGAAACCATGTAATAAATTGTTAGTTAAATTTTACGAGCAAAACCATGTAATAAATAGTTAAAATTTTATGAGCAAAACCATGTGATAAATTTTAGTTAAATTTTATGAGCAAAACCATGTAATAAATTGTTAGCTAAATTTTATGAGCAAAGTTACTTAATAAATTGTTAGTTAAATTTTATGAACAAAACCATGTAATAAATTGTTAGTCAAATTTTATGAGCAAAGTTACTTAATAAATTGTTAGTTAAATTTTAGGAGCAAAAACATGTAATAAATTGTTAGTTAAATTTTATGAACAAAACCATGTAATAAATTGTTAGTCAAATTTTATGAGCAAAGTTACTTAATAAATTGTTAGTTAAATTTTAGGAGCAAAAACATGTAATAAATTGTTAGTTAAATTTTATGAACAAAATCATGTAGTAAATTTTATGAACAAAGTTATGTAATAAATTGTTAGTGAAATTTAATGAGCAAAACCATGTAATAAATTGATAGTGAAATTTTATGAGCAAAACCATTTAATAAATGGTCAGTTAAATTCATTCTATCAATAAGTGGTATTCCAGTGTTTTGATAAATTTTCTGCCAAATCATTACAATTAAATAATTTTTATAAAAACTCATGAACTGTTTAACTTGGTTTACATTAAAAAATGCATGTTTTAAATAATATAACGATGAAAATACATATAGTTTGAAATAAAAATATGAGTATTCAGTTCTTTTCTCTTCGATTGTACTCGACGCAAGACGACAAAAAATTGGACAGTGGGGAACTTGTTACAACGCATAGCGTAGAGTAGGGTAGCGTTGCATGGCATTAGGCAGACGTGCACGGGGGTAATACAATCTTATGGAAAATTTGACATTGGATTTGTGTTGGGTGTTTGTTCCACGCTTTATCTGACTGAGAAGTCATAGACAGGAGTAACGTCCGTTTAGCACCAAGAAACAAATCCCCATCAACAAAGAGCAATCCTGAAGGGAGAACATTCTGCACAGTTTCAACCATTCAGCTTACTCATTATTACCCCATTGAAGTCCTAACTAGTAAATTAGGTATTCAATAAATTCCCTCTGCACACCAAGTAGTCAGTTCACCAAGCTACACTACTCAAGTATGCTCTGAACCAGCCCAAAATATAAATGTTTCAATACAAAAATATTCAGGAAGCCTGATTTATTCCTGTAGAGGAACCCCCAAGCTTATATTGGCCAGAACTAAATTAACACGCAGAAAAAATGAACTTACTTGAAGTTACTTCCAAGTCAACTATCTCAGAAACTCCACTCAATTGAGAGTCCAGTAAAGAGTAGGAGGAATGTTAGGGATTTTGTTTATTAACTTTAACAGTTATCTTTTCAGTAAAAATAATTTATCAACACTTAGTTTTTGTCAAATTTGAAAGTGGGCAAAGTGTCATAAAATGTGGATGACAGAGAAGTCTAACAGCACTATTCAGATATCTGTCAAAGAAAATCAGACTATGGGTCTGTTTACAAAACAGTCATGTTTTATGTAATGAAAAAAGAATTCATTCACTTTTTGTATAATACAAGTGAAAAGTTTTATATTATGAGAAAGGCAGGTATTTCAACTACCACAATTATTGCCCTATTTTTCCTCTTTCAAAATTTTCAACCTAAATAATTCCAATCGCGCTAGGACATTTTATAGTAGAAAATCACGATTATTCAGCACCACAATCAGTAAAAAAAATTTCTAAAAATAAAACAAACTTTTAAAAAATTTTAATATTCAACATTTTATTTATATTTTTACATCTTAAGAACAATTTTTTTACATTTTATTAAATTTTTATTTACTCTATTTTTACAAATTAAGTCTCTTTTTATATTGGTTTAAAAAATAAAAAATAAACAGTTTAAAAACTGAAATTTAAAAATCAATTTCGAGTTTACAAATTGATTTCATGTTTTCCGTGTGGGGATGGGGTGATGAAAATATAAAAAGGAAATGTCATTAATCACAGTAAATAAACATAATTGTACAAGTGTTTATAATTATAAGGTGTGACATTTAAATTAAAGTACCAGTGAATAAAAAATAGGAATTTCAATTGCAAATGATAAAATTATATCAGTGTAAGTATAAATATTAGATGAAATTTTGAAATTAAATTACTTATAAATAGAAATATATTTATTTTTCAGCTGTGGATAGCTGACACTTACTCATAATAAATATAAAAGCGTAAAATAAAGCAATAACAATTTTCTAATGTTTTTCTTTTCAAAAAATATTTAAAAAAGAACATAGAAAACCGATGAGGTTTTCCATTAACATTTTAACGGGTTTGCTAAAAACCTCAAATAGTTATTGCGGATGAGGTAACATTGATTGCAACTTGTTTGGGAAGGGGTGGGTGACCAATCGGCTAAAATTGCAAGGGCTTTCTCAAGGGGGAGAGTCTAGCACGACTAGAAAAACAGCAATTGAAGCCTCCACTTTCGTTCAGAAGCCCAGTCTGGCCAGCGAGCGTATCGTGTGTTTCTTGTGACTCCCCGGCGCCCACGATTTGGACTTGGCCTTAAAGTGCTTGAACTCCGTCTGATGAGCTGGGTCTTGCATCGTCCTGTAAGACCGTGGCTCACACATTTCATTGTAATGCCTGTAGAACTCCGAGTAGCCACCATGCAGCAAATACATCTCAGGGTAGTGCAAGTTAGGGTAATCGTTACCGGCCCTGTCCTCTTTCCTAAGAAAGCGAGACCTACAAATACATACAACATCACAATTTTGCTTATACAATTAAATATCTTTTTAGTATTTTTTATTGTCAGATAACTTGAAATTAATCACAGCTAATTTCATTGGATTGGCTCTATTTATTCATCACTTTAAACACAGTTCAGACAATATGCAATTAATTGTGATCAACAGTAATAACTTATTCTCTCCAATTTGCCTTGTCATGATTGAACAAATTTGTCTAAATAAACATACTGTATTATACGATTTTATATGAGACAGAGGTGAAGAAAAGTGCTTACATAACAAATCTAAAATTAGTGTTAAATTGATTAGTATGTATACTTTTTAAATTAAAATTTACATACTACATACATTACATTTGTCATCTATATTGTCTTTACTGTATAGATTGTAAATTTAAATTAATAGATTTTTGATTATAAATAAAAAGAGTACACTTACAGAAAAGGTCCTCTCTCTGAGGAGAATTCACAATGGAAAACAAGTATATCTCGTTTTGTAGTCTGTGACGTCTCCCTTGGTTTTTCTTTACATTGCAGCAATTCTTTGGAGATATGATCACAGGTGTACAGGTTAATGGCGCCTTTGATGTGGCCACCTTCATACTCGTAGGGGTATCTGCAGTCTATAATTTTGAAGGAGGCGACAGTGTCTTCGTACTTGCCATTTATGAGATGAGCCAGTGTCTCACACGTGATCGACTTGAGATCCTGGTGTTTTCCCGGAGTGAGTGGTAAGGCAAAGGGTTTGGAAAAATTTCCGATAAGATCTTCTTGAGTGGCTGTAAATTCAATTTTTATGTTGAAAGAATAAATAACAAAAGCATTACACTTATAAATATTTATAAAATGAAATACTTACATCTTTGCAGTGCCATTTTGATGTTTAGCTCATTTTCTGACTTTCTTCTGTCCACAAGTTCACTCTTTTCAGGTTCAGGTGCTGCATACTTCCAGAAACCATACTCGAAGAGAGTTCCTTTGTTTTCTGGAATGTCTTCTTTCTGGGATTTTAACCTTTTCAAACGAAGCTTTTGTGGAGAGGTTTCATATTTGGAAAAATCTGATAGTGGCCTTTTAATTTCATCTCGCATGGAAACTGCACGTACTTTCCTCTTAGGTGTATTGCCGTCCCCCAGTTGTTTTCTAGGACTGTACTCGCTGAGTATCCTACCGTTGAGGAGAATCCCCATCCCTTCTGGCAGCCCCGTATTCTCCTCTTGGTCTGCTTCTGGCAGCACAGAGGCATTATCAAAAAAACAATCATCGTAAGAATTTGAATTATCAGATGACGTCGACGAAAACGAATAAAACTGAAAATTCCTCCTCGGAGACTCCATACTGTTCAACCTTTTTGGAGCGAATCCACAAGGTTCAGCAAACTTGAAACCTTGGGAATCATCGCTCGAGAAGGACATCGCACAGCCGCTATCCTGCGAGTTGGCGTCGTGGTCATCCAACGGTGTTCTCGACTGACACCTGTTACTCACATTGCACGGCGGAGAAGGAGGATTGTTTTCATCCGGGACGAGTTGAAGCCTCCTCGAAACAGGACGGATACTCGGCGGAGTGCTAACCCTCAGTCCACTCGACAATAGCCTGCAACAATAGCTACTGGTTACAACCGATAACTATTTTAGTCAATTATTAAAACATCCCAAACAACTCTGAGATGTTAGGTTATTATGTACATGATAAATGAAAGAATGACCTAGTTAGTGTTTATGGATTTCAGGATTTTGAAATTGTGGAACATCATATGATAGGTAATCAAAACCCTACTCCTCTTTCAAAAATTCACTTCAATATGATGATAAAAATATACAGTTTCGAAACATAAATCGTTAAAAACAATTCAAATGGGGTAGATAATTAAAATCGCTAGCAATTAAACGTTCGGACTGTTAATATAATTCTAGAAGTAAGGCAAAAGGAAACTCACATTTCGGGAAAATAAACATCCTGGATGAACATTTTGCCGGTTGAATCAGACTAGCACAGAGGATGTTGGTAGCTGGGCAGTCGAGGGCACACAGACCAACAAAAGATGAGGGCTGAACCATCGCCCCTCCAACCCCCCGCAAAGGGCTCGACCCGTTCCCGCCCGAACTACACCCCTTGAGGGCATCCACAGGCACAGAGGGAAAATGCAAAGGCATCTGCCAATCTGGCGGCCCTTCACTTTTCACTTTCGCCCTTTGTGCCGTTTTCGTCGAGTCAGGTGGATTTTTTTATCCCGGAAATTGAATATTGAAACGGTGCGTCACACGTCGTACGGCGTTAAAATCACCACACAAAATATCACGCTTTAAAAAGACCAGGTTTTAAAAAGCACAGGGAAAAGACACAAATGTATGAATGTGCCACTGCCCGATAAATACCAATACGAAACTTCTTAAGCAGCTCATACATATATTATCTTCGTGTGATCGTTTCAAAAGAGGTCTTCGTTCTTTATTTTTGTTTTTAGAAAAAATTTAGTAAAAGAAAGTTAAAAAAAGTACCCCTGGAAAAGAAATAGTAGTGCCTGATTGAAAATGGACTTTTGTTCCAATGATCAATCACATCCTTACATGCTCGATTTTAGGATTCAACAATCCTTTCTTCAACAAAAAGACAATCTGCTAAACTTATTATTATTTACTGTAGGGGTGGATGGAACCAACGAAATTCGCCTTTTTTTTCTTGATACCGATTGGTTGGTCTTCCACAGTATATGCCATCTTTATCAATCATTTCAAATGTCAACAGCAGTCTAAAAAAACGCGTCGAATCGACAAAACTTTCTACAATTTCAAAAGAGAGCTGAGGCTTGATTTCTGGAAATTCTCCAGGGAAGGCTCCAGTCGACTAGGACGCCCGCCTTTCATCGGGAAAGGTCGCCGACCCAATCCCCCCCTCTCAGCATACGGCCAAAGCCATTCGTAATCTTACACATACGCGCGCATCATACAAACAATTGAAATCAGAATATTGAGATCCAGTACGTTATATACAAAGTGTAATAAATCGTAAAATAGAATGAAAACATCTTGTCGATCTGAACGACTAAGAGAAAAAGCTGATAACCGCAGTCTTAGAAATAATTGAGGTGGGATGAGTATGTCGATTCACTTTTTGTGAAGTATGGTACTACTCACAATTTCGAGCATTAAATGCTTATCATCAGGTTGAAGAATTACAAGAGTAATTATACATTACAATGATTGCTAACAATTTTGTGAGTAGAACCATTCTTTACAAGTGGACTACAGTATTTGGACGAAAACCGTTTTTTCCTAACTCGGTCCATCATCAATCGATGAATTTTAACATGATAAACAAAGAACTTATGTCAAACTGTTTTTCTTAAGCAAAGAATTTACAAACGAGAAGCAACTATCCAAATATGTACATATATCGACTTCGGTATAGATATCGTTATTTCTTAAAACTTTTAATTAATTATACTTTTTATCTAAGGTCTTGGTTGAAATAAAAAAATTAGCGTCACGAGGAGGATTCGAACCTACGACCTTCCGCTCAATACGACAACTTGAGCTATCGTGACTTCGATCCACTCGGACACCAACTTCTCATCTCAATCAAGACTTTGATGTCCCTTTTTTGCTATAATTTCAAATACTGTGTGAACAGGATTTCTTAAAATTCTGTAAATTGGCCAAGTTTTGACTACACGTATCACTTTGAAAGAGGAATGCATAAGCATTTTTACATACAGCAGTCAGGTCAAGTCATGCAGCGTTCAACACGCTACTAACTACATTATTAAAAGCTATCGGGTTTAAATAAAAAAATTAGAACACCCGCTATATGCCACATTAAGCGTTAAATTCGCGATTTTTGGAAAGGGCAACCGGCTAAACTACACACTGGAGAAATTCATAAAAAATTATCAGAGATAATACTATAGAAGGCATTCGACAGATTGCGTTAGTGCCGCGGAGTGGTGACGAGGATGAAAACGGAGGATGACGACGATTTATCGGTTTTGCGTGGAAACGGGATTTTGCTCTGACCTGGTGCAGGCGAAAACGTCCACAGGCGATTCCATGTCCAGGGCCGACGACGCGATCTTCGGAGACGTCATCGACGAAGGCATCAGGCGGAGCACAGTTAGAGACTGGCTGGAGAAAGGGCGGCCGGGGGGTTCTATAGAGGCGCCCCACTCCGTAGAATCCCCACTCCGGCTCCCGCGACGCGCCACCACCGACACTCACCACCATTAGGGGTGATTGAAGGAAGAAGGAGCCCTTCTGGGGTGCCGGCAGGTATTTCGCCCCGAGAGCCCGACGGAACGGGGTGAACCCCTTTTTTCGGGCTCAAACTTCGACTGATCTTTCTCGTTTATTTGTACACGATGTTTTATCGCAACGGACATCCTGAAGGCTGACGGTCTGCCTATCCTCGCCGATTTGGTGGGTCATATGGGTGTCGGTTTCTTTTTCTTAAGGTGCCTCCAGACATGCGAGATTTGCCGAATGCCAAGCAAAGGTTCGCTGAATCCCGACTAGTGGGAAGGATACTCGGTTATACGCCGGGCAACAATAATTGTCGATTTTCTTGTACGCTATTCGTGAAGTAGCCACTCAAAGTATTCACACAATCGGGAATCCACAGTTATTATTTACTTCTATTTATTTCTTAATAATAAAATATTACTAACTAGTATAGTATCGAAAGAACAACGTTATTTATGTTCCCAATTTAACAGTCTTGGGCGTTCCTCGATCTGAACCAAAAATTTGGAACGCTTTTCTTCCTAAGTACAAAAATCGGCATGAGGTTTTCTATGCGTGGAAACGGATCGAAAGTAAGATGAGGTGGGGCAAAAGTACTCTGTGACTGAGTTTCTAGCCACTACATAAAACGGTTACTACAGCTTCACTGATTTCCATTACGATTGTTAGTAAGTTAGTAGTAAGGCATGCTTGTAATCGTAGGCACGCTATTTGGTAATTGCTAAGACGAGCATCTCGAGACTTTGCAAATGTTCGGCGCGCATGTCTGGATCCAGCTTTACAATACGACAAAAAATTTACACACCAATGAAAATGCCGAAATGCGCCTTACAGACCAAAATGATTCGAAAAGCTAATGGGGTTTTCACCCCACGAGGAAATCATACTATTTAAATGAAACTTTAGTTTAGAATATAGATTTTACATAGTTTAGTTTTGCCAGCCGCGTTGTGTTGAATAAATCGTTTAAGGGGGTTGATTGACCACTTTTATACACGACATCGAAAAAAAATAGGAATACTTAAGGACATTATAGTTGGTTGTAGGACTTTCTACCACACAAAAAATTCGAGTAGACGCGAAGGACGCAATCAAACATCCAGCAAAAATTTGAGCAATTTAATATTAAGCCTGTTCGAAAGGGGAGAATTTCAAACTTTGCATTTTTGTTACTGACTGACTCAATGATCATCAAAATTATAATGCACTTCCCGAATAGCTAAAAACGTGAAATCCGGTAAAAGGGTAGGGTTTATATAGCAAGTAAAGGGAAAAATCTGAAAATTGCAAGTTTTCCAAAATTAAAGTCGTTTTAAGGGATGAGGGGGTAGTCTCATCATCAAAATTATAAGGCATATAAGTGGAAATGTGATATTTGCTACAAATATAGTTCTTATATTATAAGTAAAGGTAAGAATCTGAAAATTGCGATTTTCTCAAAATTAGTGCCACTTTAATTAAATTGTCGTATAAGGCACTTCCCGTATAGGTAGAACGGTGAAATTTGGTAGTACGATAGGGCTTATATTGTAATTAAATGGAAAAATCTGAATACGGAAATTTTCTCAAATTAGTGTCGCTTTAGGGATGGCCGGATGGGGTTAGTCTCATCATCAAAGTTACCAGCCGCATAGGTAGAAAGGTGATATTTGGTACTGTAAGTTTGGTACTGTAAAGGGAACAATCTGAAAATTGCAAATTTCTTAAAACTTGTCCCGCTTTAAGGTAGTTCTAAATTCGGGAAGAAGTCACGCGCATGCATCGATTTAATAAAAATTACGGTTCAGGCGTTGACACGACGCTCATCACAGTAAGTTAAAGGTTCCCGGGTTCAAATCCAGCGGCCCTGCATTTGAACCCGACATACTTACAAATGGGCTTTTTTCAAAAACACCGGCACCCCGAGGTAAATGATATGATAGGATATGACATGACCACTACTGTTGCGATCCCTCGTAAAAAAAATCTTTCATTTCAATATTTTACGTTCAAATTTTTGCGCGTTCAATTGCTCGATTTGAACGGGTGGTTTTGGTGACCCCAAACGGCCCATGTGAGTGAATATATTTTTTTTATAAATCATATTTAATGAAAACGAAAAATATAAATAATAAATTTTAGACACGTCCATGATCTGGGCCAGCTGATTAAACGAAAACACCTATTTATTAAGAAACTAAATGTTTAAAAATCCTTCTCCTTAATTCTAACTTGACAACACTGGCTTAGTAAACAGGCCTCAGTTTATTTCGACCTTAGAATTGACGTTAACTTGTTCGTATTTGATTTTAGTGTCTTTAGCAAGACGACGTCCACGATGCTGAAGAGAACAAAAATGTATACAACAAAACCCTAACC